CCCGCCCCGGCCAGCAGGGGTTTCCAGCACCCGCTGCCGGCCGGGCTGGGGTGGGCCGAAATAGCGTCTGTGAGTTTCAGGGGCGCTCCAGGACGGTGTCTAGGTCTATTGGCTCCGCCTCCGCTCCAGGACGGCGTCTAGGTCTATTGGCTCGGATCCTCATCGCGACGCGGGAAAGTAGGGAAGGAGTAGACTGTAATTCTCATGGTATTCTACTCAGAAATGAAAGCCGGAGAGGGATAAGTTCTTGATTTGGCCCCAAGAACTTAACAGGGGCCCAAGTCCACAAAGGATGCCTAAAGCAAAATTCCGAAGACTTCCTTTCATTAACTCCTGTTTCAACAGCTGTTTATTTAGTGACTGTCTTCTGGCCCTGTGCTAAAGGCAGTATGTGCCCTGAGAAATCAGTCCTGCCACCCTAGTTCTCCAATGCGGGACGGACAGACAAGTGATTTTAAGATATGATCACAAATGGTGATAAGCAACTAAATAACAAAAGAAGCAAAAGAGAGAGAACAGCTTGGAGATGTACTGAATTCTTGCAGGGCTTTCTTCATTGTATAGATATTTAAATGGCCTTGATAAGATGATTATTTCTCTGATCTCTTATGCCTCCTCCCCAACCTGCTGATTAACTTTGCTTCATACCTCATAGAAAAAGAGAAATATTAGACAGGAGCTCCCTTATCTTCTCACCATCAAAACTACTCTTATCTCTGTTAGGGACATGGTCCTGGGTTTCTCTGGAGAAAGTGTCCCGGAGCCTATGAAGACCAGTGACCTGGACTCCTTTCACTCCTACATTCCTAGGGATTTTGCTCCACAGTTCCCTTGCCCTCCAGCAACTTCAGTTCTTCCTCTCTCAACAGGATTACTCCTATCAGCAGAGAAACATGCTGAAATTCCTCCCATCTAAAATAAACTTCCCTTGATTCCAAAATCGCCTCCAGTAACTGCCCTGCTTCTTGGCTCTTTCACTGCATAAATTCCCAAAAGGTTTTTTCAAGCTCTCTCCACAGTGTTGGTTCCCACTTCCTCACTTCGCATTCACCTCCCTGCCTATCCTGATCCAGCTTTGGTTTCCATCATCTCTTATCAAGATTACTTATCATCTCCATGTTTCAAAAGCCAATAGCCAATTCTTTCTTATCTAAATTAACTTCTCAGCAGAACTGCAAACAGTTGACATGCTTCCTTTTTCTTGAAGCACTTTTTCCCCTGGACTTCCCTCCACATCACGCTGTCTTGATATTCTATCCCCTCACTAGGCCTCCTTTTTAATATCCTTTGCTGTTTTCTTTGGCTCAATCGCTTTTCTTTTTCCTTAAGACAAGGTTTCCCCATGCTGTGACCCTCCGGCCTCAGCCCTTTCCAGTTGCTGGGATTACAGACACCACCGCACCCAGCCTTTAGGTCTGACGTTAACTGATGCAGAGTTTGTCACATGGCTCCAGCTTCTTATTAATAGGTCGCAGTGTCAGCGTATGGCACTTCATCAAGGACTAGCTCAGTCTTTAAATGTTGGGCTGCCCCATCGCAATCTTTATTATCTTCTCTATTGTACTATCACTCCGTGATCTCATCTGACTTCTGGATTTTAAGCTATTAAAGTATATTGGTCTTAAAAAAAAGGAGGGGATGAGGACAGTAGGTGGCATGGTGGTTAAGGTGCTGGGCTCCCCACATGATTGACCACAGTTCAAGTCCCGGATCTGACAGATTGCTTTTTCATTTTTCCTCTCTCTCTCTCTCTCTGGTGAGCACGAGTGTCCAATAGAAAATTTCAAAATAATAATTCTTTTTTTAAAAAACTATACTGGGGACCAGCAGTTAGCGTAATGGCTATGTCGCTGGACTCTCACGTAGTCAACTGCAGTTCAAGTTCCGGACCCAGCGGCTTAAACTCACGCTGGGCGCTTGTGCGTGCCCAAGATCCCGAGAGGAGAATGGAGGAGAAGGGATTGTGGCGAGGCCATCCCCCCCGGGGGTTGATTTCTCACTTTCTGTCTCTCTGTCTCTCTCTGTCTTTATGGCCAGCGCAAGCGCCCTATATGGCAAAAACCTCTCAAAAAAAAAAAAAAAAAAAAAAAAACTATATTGGCCTGAGAAGGCTTCCATACCCAAAAACTTCAGTTCTTGTAAACAAACCACAACCTCACTTGGGAATCTGCTTCCTTAAGATATTGGTGAGTCATAACCAATCACGGCAGCCATGCTTCAGTCAATCACAGACAGCCCGCCCTTCAGACTGTGTTTCTACAGGTAACCAAACCATAAACAACCCAGCTACTTCACCTCATTTCCTTCACTTCAAATTCTTACATCACTTCCCTCTTCCTCCCCACAGAAGTTATTGGACCAGGCAGGCACCTTAGAGTTCCTTGGAAGCCACCCTGGGGCTGTCCAATTTACAAATCATTTTTTTGCTCAATTCTGCTAAATTAGGGCTGGCAGATGCTGTGGTGATTAGGGGCGCTGGACTCCCACATGATCAACTGAGGTTCGAGTCCCAGACCTGGCAGCTTGCTTTCTCATTTTCCCTCGCGCACTCTCTCTCACTCTGTCACTCTTCAATCAAATTAAAATAAATACTTAAATAGAAATTCTGCGAAATTAGATTTGCCTAAGTTTTCTTATAACAAAGCTAAGGACCCTCAGATTTCTCTCCAGCCTAGACCTCTCCACCCAAATCCAGATTCACAAATCCAACTGATTACTGATACGCTGTATCTTCAAACTCATCACGGGTGAAGAGGTCTAGACTTTACCCCTATCTTGCTCCTTTCTCAATATTCTCAGTGGATGATGCCATCATCCACCCAGTTGTTGGAGCTAAAATGCAGTAAACACCCTTTTTTTTTTTTTTTTTAGAGGGTTTCGCTAGTATTTTTGAGAGGTTTTCGCTAGAATGCGCGTACGCTCGCCAGATAGACAGAGACAGAGAGATAGAAAGCGAGAAATCACTCCCCAGGGGGGGATGGCCACACCGCAATCCCTTCTCCTCCATTCTCCTCTCAGGATCTTGAGCACACACGCACACGCGCCGGTGTGAGTTTAAGCCGCTGGGTCCAGGACTTGAACCGCAGTCGACTACGTGGGAGTCGTGCAACAAAACCATTACACTAACTGCTGGTCCCCAGGTAAACACTCTTGATCCTTCCCTTTCACTCCCCTCCACATCCCAACTCATCAGCTAACCCAGCAAAGCCAGCCCCCCTTTCACTGTGTCTTCCTTCACATTGCCCTATTCTGCACTACCCTGCTCTCACCCAGCCTCCTGGGAAGACTATCCAACTTTAGGGCCACCTTTGACCTTCATGATCCTAGGCACTTTTGCCCTCTTGGGCCCTGTGGTATAATAGAAATATTTGGTCTTTGTCCCTATTTCCCAACATAGAGCACCTAAACCCTTGGCATTTACTAATAAAGTCTTTCATTATTCACACTGGACCCATTTCGATCACCAGGAGTTTATGATAATGAGATGACTTCCAGTGGAGCTCCTAGAGAACTTCAGGGTGGAGCCCGAACAGCACAGATCAGATGTTGGGAACTCTTAGTCTCACCCACCACCACACCCCCTCCTCCAGGGAGAGGAGACTAGTGATTGGGTTAGAAAAACTCTTCAACTAGGGACCAGCAGTTAGCGTAATGGCTATGTCACTGGATTCCCATGTAGTTGACTGTGGTTCGTGTCCCGGACCCGGCGGCTTAAAACTCACGCCGGGCGTGTGCGCGTGCATGCATGCATGCTCCAGATCCTGAGAGG